GGGGAAATTTCGGCCATTTTGAGATTATTGATGCTGGAAAACTGTATACCTTCCAGTTCAGAGACTGGGGCACCAATATGCTGTGTCCTGAATTGAATCAGTGCCTGTAACCAAAAATGTATTCCTTGTAACTAAAAATGGAGAAGTAAAAGCAACAATATCAACATTTGCAGAGCACTCTGTGCACTCCTAGGCAGTCTTCTGTTGATGCAGCTTGGTCTTGAATGCATGTAAAACCTGCATAACTTTCGCTGTCACAAGTCTTAATGATTACCAGCTTTAACAGATCACAAATCCGTTTTGAAACTGAACAATGTAATTGGAGGAAATAGCAGTTTAGTTTGGCTGAAACATACCATAGAATGAAGTGATAGCTACATGACACAGAATATACTTTAAATAGAAACCATTTATTATGACAGCTGAATAACATTTAATATTATTTTGTTTTCTTGTTATACTTGTCAGTTATATCCACCGGGAATAAAAATAAAAATAAAAATAAAAATAAAAATAAAAATAAAAATAAAAATAAAAATAAAAATAAAAATAAAAATAAAAATATAATAATAATAAAGAGCAAAAAGAAAAAAGTGTTGCTAATAGGATCATGTGTTAGCGTTGACTCTGGGATATGCTGGCTTTCCTGAGAAGGGGAAATATGAGTACAGATCCAAAGAATGACTACGCTAGAGAAAGAGAGGTGATTTAGGAGTAGGTGTAGAAGTACACATTGAGAAAAAAGAAGAAGGAAGCCTTACAGCTGGGAATGAGTGTTCACCTGTGATTTACCATTGTAAAACTGGAACAAGGTGGGGAAAACTTTTATATCCTTTCCTCAAGGTGGACTTTAGGAACCCAGCATAAAAATAATGATGTTTTCCACACACTAGAAAAATAAGGAGGATTGTGTTTGGGGGAGAGAAAGTCTTGCAGCATAGAGGCAACTTTGGACAGACAGTGGTGACATTTAGTCTTTGATTTACCTAGAGCAGGAGAAATTTCTTGTATTGGAAAGATGTGGAGAACTCTGATGAAGGAAAAAAATGACTGCACATAACACCTCTTTTTTACCTTGAAGAGTTAAGCAGGTTTGTGTGAAATATCCTGGCTTTCAAATCATCAGATAGCAAGGAGCTAAAGATATCTCTGGCTAAAATTCTGAGGAAATCATAATTTCTGGCTCCATCTATGGTGAATCGTGAGTTTTATCTATAAAAGCAGCAGCTGCATTTGCTTTGTGCCCTCGAAAACACTCCAGAGTTGATCGCATTGCTCGACTCCGGCAAAAAGAAGGCTGCATACTTTGTTCTTCCCAAAAATACGCTAATAACAACTACTAAAGTTGTTTCAAAAGCATATCAGATAGGTGAACTGTACAGGGCTTGACTTTTTTTCAATGAATATACTTTTGGAACGCTGATAAAAAAGTGTCTTTAGTCCTAAATGCATTTTCCTTCTCGACCGAGGAGCTCTGGACTTTGGACAGCCAGGATAGTGACTTCTCTCTGGCCTTCCCCTTGGTGAGGTGAAGGGGTGGGCAGATGTCTTCAACTGATGTTGGCCCTTGGGACTTCAGGAAATGGCTTTTGCAGTTCCCTTTCTTTGCACTGAACTGAGAGAGCTTCAGCTGCAGCTCATAATCTGCCCCATAAATTCAGAAGCATAGCAAAGCAGTGAAATTACCTGATTCCATTGCTAGACTTAAACAACCATTATGGAATATCATATTTTTTACTGGGAGTTTGGGATAAGGAGGAGAGATACAGGGGCCTCTGCAGTGTCCTCAGAAAAGTGGTTCTTGTCCCATGGTTTTGCAGGTGTTTTCACACATAGTTTTCAAGAAGCCTTCAAGGTTCCATGTGGGAACCCTCTGCTTGGGGCTCATTGTCCCTTAGGATCAGCCAGCCCTTGCTGCTTGCTTAGTACAGTAATGAAGGATCCTGGAAGAATGATACTAGATACCAGTTGCAGATAATGAGACCTACTGCATGCCACTGGGTGGGTATTGCGACTGCAGAAGATCTGTGCATCATGGTGTGTGCAAGTAGGCAAATGAAGGGATGCAACTTGACCTTCTTTGTTTAGCTGATCTTTAAACTGGAGAAAGGACATAAATATGGGGCTGTGTATGCAGTGAAAAGTCAGGGGTACATTTTTATATTCTCATTAAACTGATTCCTGGAGCTAACTGTCCCTATTGTTTACAAGTGTGAATTTACCTATTGATCTTGGAAAGCAGGTTATAAATAAATATTATTTTAAATGTATGGCAGGAAGGAGGTGGATAGGTAGACAATTCTTTGCAGAAAAACATTCACCCTCACTTGTGTTGACACAAATGTCTGACACAGGTTGCATATTTCCATGATTTTTGAAATTTGTGCTTGCAGGTGAATATTCTTCAAAGTCTTAATCATACTGAATGCTGCTTTTTTTTTTTTTTTTTTTTTTTTTTTTTTTAACTTAAAAAAACCTCATGGTCCTGGAGGAGCGTGGACAAGCAAAATACAGTAAAATATAAGAGACTGGGCATCCCTTGCTGTCTTTAACCCTGACCTGTTAGGGGATCTTGAAATAAGTCATTTAATCATCCTGTGCTTAGGATCCCTTTTCCTGTTTCATCTCCATTTCATCTTCTTAGGGGCTGTGAGTTTTTTTAAGTAAGATTTTTCCTTTCTGAAAAGTTTGGACCATACCCCAATCTCAGCTAGACCTCCAGCAGTTGCCGCAATACAAATAACTCTCCTGCCACTGTGTTTGACTTTAAGGTTGTGAGAATGTTTTTCTTGTATTTCATGTGTTTGTGAACTACCTCAGTTAGCCAAGGAGAGCCAAGGAGAGGTTGTTTACAGGGACATAGCTTTTCACCAGTGGACCAAGCTGAACACTTATGGCCTAGTATCCTGAGAAAAGGATGTGATTGTACAGCTGGTTGCTCTATTTTTTCACCTGTCTTTCCATGTCATTTCTTCCCACTCAATAACTTGTTGAGCATTTTGCTCAAATTCAGCCAAATGTGAGAGTGAGAATCATAATCTCAGTGTTTTTAAAGTTTTATTACCTATTTATTGCCTATTTATGAATCAGCAGAGGAGAGAAATACAAATAATGTTCTAGCTGGGTGAAAGACTCAAGTCATTTATTCTATTTGGTTTCTTGGATGATCTGTCAGCAAACAGTGACTCAAGACCAAACATAGCATGTTTGCTATCTTGCCCAGCCTGGAGATAGGAAACAGGTAAGGGGAAGGCATTAGGGTGGATTTAGACAGAGAAGAGAGTTTTTACAGTGGAAATGTTGATTAAAAGAAAAAAAAAAAGAGAAGAGAAGAGAAGAGAAGAGAAGAGAAGAGAAGAGAAGAGAAGAGAAGAGAAGAGAAGAGAAGAGAAGAGAAGAGAAGAGAAGAGAAGAG